ATGTTGTGGTTTATATATATATAGGAAAGTGTCTTCCAAGTAATGCTTATGTTTGAAACTTGTATTTCTTTGCAGCACTATAATTGAATCTCTTCATTCTGTCATTGGAAACGTAGACGTAAGTTATTGTCATTTCTTCGTGTGACATTTAGGCCAAAAACTAGGAAGTGACAAAATACAATTTAGACAAAGTGATATAGTCCATAGAAACACACACACATACGCAGTCCATAACAAAGTGTTTCCGTATCCTTCTGGACCTCAACGTACTTGTCCGAGCGGTCCAACAGAAATGTAATACGGGACTACACATAGGACTGCAACAGTGTGTGTTTGCTCCTTTCAAAAATGTATTACAATAATCATCATGATATATGAGCCTTCAAACAAACTGTTTTATCTTTTCCCTAGTTGACTGTCATCAACAATGCAATAGAGGAAGGCTTGACGTCAATAATAATACCCGAAATGAATGGTACGTATGTTCTGGGCAATAATCTCTCTGGCCCTAAAGTTTCTCTAAAAAAAAATCTTTGAATGCATTTAAATACATCTAATGTCCTTCTCCGCCTTCTCTTATAATATTTCTAAAAAAAATAAGATTATTTAAATTTTAATTTAAATATTCGAAAACGCCAGTAGACAAAATATTTTTAATAATAATGACTTCCGCTCCATTTTTAAAAGAGAATTGATACTACATTTAATTAGCAGGAATTAAAAGTAGTCCCTAGTTTGTACAATTTTATTCACTAATGGAGATTTTGATATATGGATAAAACCTGGCATATATACATATAAGACGTGTTGATAAGATATTTTTTTTTTAATTGAAGAATAAAATTGGTCCACATTTTAGCATTCTGTCTATGCAATTGATAAATTTGTAGAATTCTTATTCTATTTTCTTTTAATATATATGATATCATGGGCGTAGCCAGAGGGGGGGATCGGAATTTAGTGACTGATTTTTTGCTTTGATTTTGTTTATTTTAGGTGAGATTTTAATACTAAACCATCACTTGCCCCAGCACAACCAAGGGGGTTTTAATACCCGGGGGTTTTGAGTTTTAAACCCCCTACCAGGGGCGTTAGAGTTTAAAACCCCCTACCAGGGGTTTTTGCAGTTAAATCCCCCTCTTCTAAAAACAAATTTTTAAAAAATGCAAAACGACAATCCCCAAATTCCAAGAGCACAGTTAAGGAAGATTTTGATTTTAAACACCCCCTCCTAAATTTACAATAAACCCCCTCTTCAAGCCAAAGGGGTTTTAATTTTTAACTCCCCACCAGTGGAGTTTGAAGCTAAAAAATACATCTTCAGTGTAAGAAAAAAAGCTAATTAGGAACTCAAAATGCTATGAGCTTTGCCAAAAGGGGTTTTGAGTTTAAACCCTACTTCAGAGGGGTTTGATGCTTAAAAATACCTCTTCAATATAAAAAAAGCAAATTACACACTAAAATTATTTGAGCGTAGCCAATCCGATTGGGGTATTTAGGTTTAAACCCCTTTCCTACAGATGGCTTTTTTTAAAGTTTAAAACCCCTCCAGATGGTTTTGAGTTTAAAATTCCCCTACAGAGTGTTTTGAGATGGAAATATTATTCAATATTATTCTAAAGCAAACTACAGTTACTAAATTACCGTAACTAAATGGGGTTTTGAATTTTAAAAAAAAAACAACTCCAGAGATTTTTTAGTTTAAAACCCCCAACAGATGATTTTGACGATAAAACTTCCCTTTTCGGTATAAAATCTAAAGCAAACTACAGTCACTTAATTCCAAGAGCGTATTCAAGATAGGTTACACATTTCTACCAGTGGCGGGGCTCCATTAATAAAGTGCAGTGAATAGTCATCTGCCGAAATTGAAAACACTAAATGTGGCTCAACAAAGATGGCTAAGACAGATTTTAGGAGTCAGTTATAGAGATCTGGTCTAAATCAAGAACATCCTATGCCGAACTGGAAGTCGACCCCTTAGTAAGATTGTGATAGAGCGTCGCATGAGGTTTGCGGGACATGTTCTCCGACAAATGAATTACGCATAAGAAGAGTTGCGATGACATCCTAGTACATCTTGGCGCCACCCATTCATGGAGGTCCTCAGAGCAGGTGAGAAGAGGCTTCAGACATTACCAGTGACAGATTTTTATGGAAGCAGCTTGACGGCAAATGCGCCGAACGGCGCATTGGATGGTTTAAGTCAGTAAGAATAGCACATTAGGTTTTTGAAATAAAACTTTTTTAATAGCACGAAAATGCACTGTAGATACCTCAGAATATGCATTTTTTTGGCTATCAATACCAGAAATAGTGCTTGGCGGCGGGGCTCCAAGCTCCTAGCGCTCCCCCATACCCCCTTGCTGGCAATGGCGGGGAATCTACAATTTTTTCACTAAGTCCAGGAAGAACCTATTCTAGGGCACAATAAAAGTCTTCCGAAAGAATGAAGGGTCAGAATGTAATAAAGATTATTTACACACACACATAAATAAACATTTTTTTCGCTGGGGAGGGAGGTCCGGGGGGGGGGGGGGGGGGGAGAAAAAAATCCCCCCCAACCCCCTTTCCCATAATCGAAAAAAATTCTGGCTACGCCCATGTGATATATATACATACATATATAAATATATATATATGACTTATATGTATAATAAATATAATCTTTCTCTTTTTAAACAAATACACTTTCTTTACTATTGTAGCAGTTTGTATAGTAGAAAGCACTTAAATTCTTAAATATTTTTTAGAAAAGAAAAAAAATGCATAATTGTTTTTAAAATGCACATAAAAGTCATCTCATTCATCACTATAGTCTCCCCTGTTTTATTTAATTATTAATAATAAATAGTTGTAAAAAGGTGGGATTTCTGAAATATAGATATTGCATATTTTAGTTTAAAATTAAATCTTTCTCTTTAAGAAAGCAAAAAGTAACTTTTGCATGATATTTGATTTTCATTATTTTCTATTGTTTTCGCGATCTAAACGGAACGGACGGACGCACGTACAGACAGACCACATAACAAATATTAGTGGCAGCTAAAAACATAAGCACATCAGCAGTTCCTATATTTTATACACCGGATACACCAAAAAGCGAGCTATTTATAGCTTTTCCACCATGTATGAAAATGTTCAATAGTGCCTAATCTATTGTATGGCCCACCAACGACGAGAGATTGATGTCATAAACTATGTCATTTCATTTACCTACATTTGTTTCAAGTTGTATTTCAAAGTAGGTTAGGAGCTTAAAGGTGATCTAATTGTATCTGGTTACTCCTACGTAATATGTGTGTGGGGGGGGGGGGGGTAGATATAACAAAATTGTACTTTTCTTCCAGAACTAAAACATTTAGGATGAAAATTGTGGGTAGCCCTATAGCCGAAATTTAAAAACTAGTAGTAAAACATGGTTGTTGAATTGTATCACCAAACAGTTAAACTGTTGTAGGTGTTTTAGTTTCTTTAGACTGAACTTAACTTGTACAAACTTCTTTTGAAACAAACAAAAAATGACTTTAATTCATCAATACAGCTTTCAATTCCAATGTGGATATGCGGAAGTGTAATGATGAGCTGTTTAACATTTCAAAACAAAATGTAACTCATTTCGCAACTACAACAAACACGCGTCCTTCCGATTCTCAGTCTACGACCTCACCAGACTTTCACCAGCCACTCAGGCCTATTTATAATCTCAGGGTCTTACTCGTGCTTACATCAGATCTATTAAGCAAGCACGAACACGCAAACACACACACACACTCCACGTCACTATTAACATGACCATGTGTGTGTGTGTGTGTGATTGTGTGTGTGTGTGTGAGTCTAGGATCAATTAACACAAGTATAAGGACGTCTTGTAAATCTTAATCAAGAAATTGATAAACCAAATTACCGGGCGCGTAGTCCTAGGTTGAAAGCTAATAAGCTGTTTAAGGGATAGTACCTGTGCTCTGGATAAATGCAAAACTTTGCTATTTCGAATTTCAAAACAAGAATTTTTAAAAAAAAGTTTCTAAGGGGAAGAACTTCACACTTATAGCCGTATATCTAAAAAATGTAGGATTAATTTCCCTTTTTTGATATCATACTCTGTCAATTAATTACCACTATTGAATTAACAAATTGGTCAATTTTTTGTTGATTCGTGTTTGGTAAATGGACAATAAATAATTTAAACTTGATCCGGGAATGGAAAGTGGGAAAGATAACGTGTTTAAAATGTGTACCAGACAGACAGCCAGAGTGATTTGATATAGGCTTTATAAATAAAATCATGCACCTGCTCAGTTTGACATCGAACTTTATTCGTCTATATTTCCAGCTGTTGCTGATGTTGGAGTCAAACTTCCATTGATCAACGATCTTGTGTTTCAAAGGCCAAGTTTTATCTATCTAGACGTAAGAATTTATACGTTGTTCTATTTAAGTAAGAGTAACAATAAACAACAAGAACAGAAAAACAGGCATTGTTTCAAAAAGTGTAAATCACAAAAAGAGCTTATCACAAAAAAAAGTGCTTATCACAAATATAGCATCTATCACAAATAGAGGGTCTATCACAAATAGAGGGTATATCACAAATAAAGGGTCTATCACAAATAGAGGGTCTATCACAAATAGAGGGTCTATCACAAATAGAGGGTCTATCACAAATAGAGGGTCTATCAAAAAACATAGTTTATTACAAAATGGTCTATGAAAAGTCAAAATCTATGGAATATAAGTAATTTTATCTTTAATCAATTTTGTTTTGCAGGGAGCCATGATCATTGGCACTGACGTTCAGTATCAAGGAATAGTCTGAAAATAGAACTGAAATTGAGTAATTTTTATGGCATGCAAAATTTATTTTATTCTGGAGAAGTTGTAAAGAGTAGGGTTTTTTTTATGTAGAAATATTTGAACATTGGTGACGTACAGCCTAATTACAGACTTAGTGCTAAATACTTTCATGTGAATTGTATTCGAATAAATTAATTAGTAAAGAGAGAGAAAAAAATTAATGTAGCTATATTTTTATGTTTAAATTTTTTTTTAAAAATCAAATGGTAAAGCATATGTCAATAAAATTGTTTACCTATGGTGATTTTTTTAAAATTGATTTTGACTAGCGTGACTTGTGTGCTATAGCATGCTCGGTATGGTCTGCTCTAATCTCTTTAGTGGACCTGTGGGGGAAGGGAGTATCTGAGAGGTTTACTTGTAGCACTACACTGCTTGAGTCAAATTATTTTTTTTTAATTCTTGTCTGCATCAGGATTCAAACTGAAGCTCACTCTTTAGCCGGTATGATTATACCACTAAGCCACATAACCCACATTGTAAGAGTTAAACTGAAAACTCTGGGACTGAAATTAGTCCCATTTAAGAGAAAAATTAATACGAAAACTTTTTTCTCTATTACTTTTTGCTAGAAAATCAGCTTCTATAACTTCATTACATTTTTCTGAGGTTATGTCTTGGTTTAAAGACACCATTTCATACATAATGTTCCTATAATTTTTTTTTTGTCATCGCAATTGGAGTTTTTTATTCATGACCATAAATACTATTTTTATTTTGTACTTGAAAGAAATAAAAGTTCCTGGTATGTAATTTGTTACAACTGGATAAAGGCATCACGATGCTGAGATGTCTTATATCAAAATATAAAAGAGGAAGTAGGTGTATTTGGAAATTAAATCTTGTACTGTTTAATATTTAAATAAAATCTGTTCCGCATATACAATCACTATTGAATAGACATATAATTATATGTAATGGTGTGACATATTAAATGAAGCAAAGTCGCGTCCAGGGAAACTTACAAGATGTCAAAACAAAAATACATTCGCAAAGGCTAAAATTTATAGGTCAAGTAGTTAGAAACCCAACAAACTTTCCCTTGACAATTTACTATTATGGTTTAAGATTAAGTAGTCTTCTTCCAATAAACAATGATACTCCTCACTATTTTGGTACAGTCACTCATCCATTTTACAGGTCTATTTCCAGAATTTTACCTGGTAATGAACATTTAATACACAACAAAACCAAAGAATCATACACAACACTTAAAAAGCTGTTACATGAAAGTCTAGTGAATAGGATTAAGTGGGGGAGAGTTCTTGGGGTGACAGAATTCTGGGACACATTCATAAACCTACACAGAAAACATACCCCACCAAAAGCTAGAGAGATAAGTTATAGACTTATCTTTGGGATGACCCCTATGGTTAGAAGACGAGCAAATGACCGTGCCTGTATATTATGCCATCTTGAAAATGCTGACAATGAGAAACATATGTATTTGGAATGTCCATTATTCCTTCAAGTTAGAAGTACTGTAAGGGACGTATTAGAAGCAAACTGTGGCAACTATGTAAATGTTAACTTGTCAATTGTATTAAACAAGCTGCCAAAACTAAAAAATAAAATGATACATAACTTTAACTTAATTATTGTTTCCGAATACTGGAACCTTGTTTGGGCTAGCTGGCTCAAAGCTCTACATAATAATAAGGTTTTTCATCCTAATCACTTAGAATTGACATTTAGAAAAATAATGGATTTTAGGGTAGAGAATTATCTAGTTTGATTTTCATATACTTGTACAATGCTCAGGTAGTTTTCCAGAAATGGGGTGATGGGGGTCAGGGATATTTGATATTGTGTTGATTGTTCTGGGGTAGAATATACTTGTATCATTGTTCTGTCTTTTATGGATTCAATGGCTAGGATGGTTAGGTAGTATGTCTTTGATATTAAATAATGTTTCTGTTAAAAAAAAAAATAGGTAGTATTTCTATTACTGTTATTATATTTTCAGGTTAATCCCTTTTTAATTGTTTATGATTTAATACTTGTAAATTATGAGAACTTATAAATAAAAAACTATATGAAAAAAAGCGCACAAAAGAGGCACGTAAAGCCCAAAAAAGATGCAAAGAAAAGAGCCTAAGGTCAAGGATTCCTATGATGATAAAGCTAAAATTGAATAGCGCAAATTCTGAGGTTTCCTAAAAAAAAAAAAAGTAGACCTAAAATGAAACTCTTCCATGTGTGGATACGTAAAAGAAAGAATTCTATTTGGTTTGATCTGAAATATATTTCATACTGTCGTAGATTGGCTGAGCATCCTTCCCTTTCGCTTCTATGGGAAAGACCGGCGAAGCCCACTGATGGAAATGCATGGTCATCCGAAATATGAAGAATAATAGTCCCCTGGACAGCTCTATGATTAATGGCCGAGTTTGCGCAGGAAATTTCCATAATGATACATATAACACAAGCCCATTCGGGAAGATTGTTTTCATTACTCCAGTTTTAAATATACAATATTGGACATAAAACATTTATAATACTTGAAATTAACGGTGAACTCTCAGCTAGTAAACACACTCTCCCCACCAAAAAAAATCCGTTTTCATAAATAATCTTCAAATGATTCCTCCTTAAAAAATGCACAATGTCCAGACCTCATCACTGGACAACCCCTTATGTTGCAGATCCCACAAGACTCACAGTTTGTTGATGACTGGGTGATGATCGTGAACATTGGATTCGTGGAACAGTTCATGTTTGGGGGGAATCAGGCTGTGGGAAACTGAGTTGGGGATTATAACCTATAACAGCGAACTGTCTCAACAATGGTGATTCAAAGTATGATGAAATAGATGTTGTAAAACAGTCACTCAGGACGACTGCGTCCTCGGAAGTCTTCAAAAACATTATTTTGTTTTCTGTCTTGTGTATAAACTGTTAATTATTGCTGAATTGAAAATCAATTCCAGATACAATATAAATTACTAAAAGCCTGCTTCTTAAGTGTGACAAAGATTAAAACATGTACGAGCTAATTCTCCATTTTACTGGATTTACGTTTTTAAACATACAAAAGAGAAACCTTTAGGAAACCTTCCAGACTAAAGAAAAGATATAAATGTCTCAAGCGTGCGGACTCAACCGTGCCCCAAAGGTCATTTTGTTTACTGATGTACATTCTTAAGTTAATCAGGTCTAGCTAATCTTATGAAAAATAATTAATAAATTCACATTTTTTAAAATAACTCTAAAACTAAAAACAAAAATAATTCCTAGTCCTAGACCAGAATACCACATCAGAATGACTAACATCTACATTTATATTGTAAGAAAGGAAAACTAACGGAAATAATTCTGAACACAATCATTACTATACCCTATGTATCTGTAGTAATTCCATGACTATTCTAATACTTCGGCGTCCATGTACTTCATTCGTGGTCAATATTGGAAAAAGGAACATGTTATGACCTTGAGACTAAACAACGGCAGCCGGCAGTGCAGAAAGCTCACAGCACGTAGGAGTATAGTGACAAGTTTTACACAACAAAACCACTTAGGTAACAGCGGTTCTCAAACGATTAACACAAGCAATAATTTTAATTTTATTTTCCACTACCACTGTCAGGGGTTAACTTCTTGACCACTTAACAAGTTTGGAGGGGGCCTCGAATCTCAAAGCATTTTTATTTTGCATTTCACTTATGTTAATTTTTATTTTCTGAGCAACCAATGGAAGCAAGGAAACTTCATATTACCGACCCTCCCCCCTTTTCCAACCTGCACCCCAGTTGTCCACAAAGAGGATAGGACCAGAGAGCACAGCGAAAGTCATTTTTGAAATGTCGTATAAACCTTGACTCTACTGTTTAAGCCATTTGACGTACCCAATGTCTAGATTGTACAAAATGTTTGAGTTCTACTATTTCATATCTAAAGAATACATTCCTATGGACACACCTTTATATTAACGAGATCCACTTACCCAATTCTAAACAAATCAACACCGGGTGATCTATTGACAGAATGGACATTTAATTAACATTAGCCTCCAGTAAAACTAAATTGCGAAAACTTTTTGGTAAGAGTTTGGAGTTTGTTGCTGATCCATGAGGTAACTTTTATTTTTGGATTATTTCTACATCACTCAAAAGAATATGAAGTTGTTTTTAAACTATGAATATTGACATACAAAATAAGTCTTCTTTTTGATTTGATACTATACCGGCCGAATCTGACTCGCGGCCAGCGGGCCGGCTTTACCCGATTTGTAAAAGAGTTTCGCTGTTTAATAGAGATAAATTAAAATATTTTCTTTTATTTTTAGCCGGGGGTGGGGGGCATTGACCATGCACTACTGTCTTCGCTACTTTCTAAGGAACATGTATGCCAAGTTTTATTAAGGTTGGTAAAAGGGTTTTGATTTCTATTCGGGACATAGAAACATAAATACACGCGCCTTACATTCTGCTGATATATTAGATAACTTTAAAAGAACTTTTAAATTCTATTATCATCAAAGACTAGAAAAAAAAAAGCAAAAATCTTTCATTATTGTGATTTAAAGGCGATGCTGTATGCTGACGATAGAGATATATGTAGATAAACATAGTTTGTGTTTTGTTTTAAACAGAACATACACATTACTTTTTAAAAGCTGTTGCAATACTACACACAATACACACAAACACACACACACACATATAGTAAAAAAAAAGTTTCCCCTTTCAGACCTTGCGATCTATGGCGCAGTTTATGTTAAGGTCATCTGTTTCTTTGGCCAATTTTAAAGACGAGGGTGTCATGGGGCCAGCGCAACAAAAAACCGAAATTACTTACCCCAACTAATGTCAGTTTCCTATTAGAGTTGGGTGGACTCAGGAGCGCCCTAAAAAATCCCGAAATTCAAAATCCCAGTCTCCATATAGATTCAAACCCAGGACTCCAGGTTCGGAAGCCAAGCCACATAACCATTCAACCACTGCGCATTCCATATATATTTCTATCTATCTATCTATCTATCTATCTATCTATCTATATATATATATATATAAAGAGAGAAACTTTTGAGACGTTTGAGCGAAACAGAAAAGCGGATAAAGAGAATAAGAAAGAGCGAGGGAAAGGGAGGGAGAGAGACTTTGAGCGGAAGAATCTAGGCAAGTGATTATTTCCCCTACAATATTTTCCCCTGCACCAGATGGAGGTCAGATTGTACTGTACAGTTGTGCTCCTGGTGCTAGTGGCAGAGTGGCAGTGTCAGGCAGTCAACTGTGGTGTCAAGATCAGACTGACAGATAAAGGAATACGTTTCAGTAAGCATGACTTTGTCAGCGGCGTACTTATTAGGGTGGGCCACACACGCGTTGTGTATGCTGATGCAGCCACTCTCTATCCGATACACAGTGATAACTTATTGGATCCTACCAATGCTTGCCCGGAGATGTGTTTGTAAAATAAAGAAGCCCTTTCAGACCTTGCTATCTATCGGTGAGCCGATGTAAAGGTCGCCTATTTCTATGGCCGACGGTTAATTAGGGTGTCGTGTCAGTTACCCTTTGGGTGGACGCCCTAAACCCCGAAACTGAAAATCCCCAGTCTTTACCAAGATTTTAATGCGAAACCCCTTCGGTTTGAAAGCAAAGCGGCTTACCACTTTAGCTACCACACTCTAGAGATAGCCACCACGCCCCAGAGATAGCCACCACGCCCCAGAGATAGCCACCACGCCCCAGAGATAGCCACCACGCCCCAGAGATAGCCACCACGCCCCAGAGACAGACACCACGTCCCAGAGATAGACATT